CACTCTTGTAATTAAGTTTGTATTATATAGTTTTGATTATATGTATGTCGAGAACTGTGGATGTCTTAACCACATACCAAAAAAAAATTCTAGAATTACATGAAATGTCTTTGTAACCGTAGATATAGCTCCCCGGTATAATCGCCAAAAATGTGAATGTCAGAAATGCATACAAGATATTTGGGTTAATGGAAGACCAAAAAAAAAGTGAGAAACTATATGATGCATTTGACCCATGGCTAGCTCCCCTATTCAACTAAGAAGACAAAGTCTTAGGCCATCTCCGACGCAAGGTTCGTAAAATGATAAAAAATAAAAGAGAAAAGCTCTAAAATCTCATAGTTAAACTATCGTCCCTTGCACTATTTTTACAGCTGTACATTTGTGAGTGGTCAAACTTTAATAAAAACTAAAATAATTATTGTTTAATTAAAATATCATTATAATATTTTTTTTTAGAATCTCATACAAGTTCACAATTAGTGATGATATTATGTTACTATTACATTTGATGCATATGCAGAGCTGAAAGGAATTATAGCTAGTACACACATTAATACAACGGATATGGAATCCACTTACAGAACTCATCAATCAATTGAAATTTCAATTGGCTTCTGCTAAAAAAATTGGAAAACTAATTATTCACTATATTTGAGGTTCCAAAATAATATATTAGTTACTTGTAGATCGCATCGCGAATTATTTTTTACTTTTATTACTTAAAAAAACAAATTGATATTACTGTATTCTATCAAACTACTTAAATAGTAATTTACTACTTTCTATCAATTTTTCATTAAAATAATCACTTCCAATTTATTTATTAACATGTCTTAAAACGTAAAAGAAGAACATGTAGTTAATATAATATTTTTTTTCTAAGAATTACCTTAAAAAGTTCAAATATTTTTGGTCTGCTTGGCGTCTTTAAAATATTAGGTCCAGCTTGGTGCATATACTGTACGACATGCTTAAACAAGTCTTTAATACATGTTTATTTATGTTACAAAGAGGCCAGACACATATCATAGCACCGTGACATTATACAAGCTTCAACTTATAGTACTTCTAAATACATAACAGACACAAACACTTGTTTTTAATCTAAAGCTTATCCAACTCAAAACCGTTACAACAAGCTCCAGCATATGTGTTGGTCTGCACTTCGAAAGCAGAAATAAAGATTACCACACTTACTTATATACAAACTCACCACCCATGCATGCATCTTCAAACATAGCTTGACATCTTACACCGCTGCTTACTTACGATTACGAAACTCCTTCGTAAGCACCCCACCATAGAGCCTGACCGCCTCGTCGCAGTTAATAGGGCGTCCTTTTTGCCTCTCAGCCCGGTTGGGATTGCCAACAAAAGGACGTGCACCACCAAAGAATTTGATATGTTCCGTCGGGTGAGAAACAACAGGTTCTTTTATATCTGACTCAGGTTTCGGGAATAGATAAGGAAGGTACATATCGAGCATTTCAAAGCCCTTGTGAGCGACCTTTCTATTCTTATCCATTTGAGCCATTGCCATCGAAGCTGAAAGAAGAGAAGAACTTGGAAGGTGTTCTTGTTTTAGTTTGTTTATCTTTGTCTCTTTAGTGTTTTAGTGTGTGATTTGGGATAGATAACCAAATGCCCTTTAATCCTTTATATAGTATTGGCCGTATGGGTAAACCCTCTAAATGGCTATACTCCTTTACCAAGAGCTTTTCGTTAACTTTTTTTTATAGTGAAATTTTGATTAGGAATTATCCACTTGTGAACACAATCGTCTTCTTTATGTTTTATTCTATTTAATATAAAGTTTAAAATTCTGATATATTCCTTGTGGAAAATATGATACGTGACTACGTGTAATCATCTCAAACATGGAATCAATTTTCTTATTCCGTTACAAGGTCATGGACGTTTTGACGGTCTGCCTCATCTTTTTTCTATCTTTTTTCATAGACAGCAAATACAAAGTAAGAGTGAAACAAATCCTTTCATTGCCATTTTTTTTTCCTTTCATTATTATTATTATTATTATTTTTTTTGACATCTTTCCTTTCATTATTAGATTAATTATATCATAATCCTTTTTCTGAAAATGGTTAAATACTAGAAAATCACTTAACAATCAATAAATATACATGTAGCTAGTTAGCATCAAATTCAATATATATCACCCACGTATTTGTTCTTAACAAAATTAATGGATATCAACAAAAAATATCTTCATAACCAGCTTTTGTCTGTTTTACGTATCTACGATTTTCTTTTGTTTTTGTAGAAATTTTCCGTCGTCAAGCTAAAGATTATAAAGTTTTGGGTATATTTTACCAGTAAAAATATATATATTAAAGTTTCCCATGATAAAAATTACAAAAACATTTATTCAAAAACATTGATCTCTATTATAGGCAAAAGAAAATTTTACTGATAAATGATAATTCCTTTTTTTTTTTGCTTTTATGTCAAAAGCATGTAACCTATTGAAATAATATCTAAATGATCTGGAGACAACCCTAATATTAGAAAAGACTAACAATAAGAAATTTGTCTAAATTTATTCTTTCCACCGTTTGTATTACTGAAATATATAAATGTCTTATTTTTTCGTAATTAGGATCTTTATGATTACTTGCACGTGTGGGGTTATATTAAATTTATGCTTTTTCCAAGATTTTAATGTTGTCTAGTAATGAATCTTCTGTTTGAAAAAGCTAAAGGATTTAAAAATATTTAAAATATTAGTATAGTTTTAGATTTATATTTTGTTAAAGCATAGATTTGGATTCGATCTGGACGAAGATTGTCGTGCCTGAAATTTGATTATACCAAGTTCTTTAACAAAAGATATATAATATATTGCACCAAGTTGAAACTTCTTTTATAGAGAGACTGATTCCTACACAATTAGGAGTTTTATTTTCCAAGATTTAATGTTGTTTATACCTTTTTCCAAAGAGTAATATATATCTTTCCTCCTTTGTCTATTCAAAAAAAAAAAAAAAATGGACCAGGATTCAATTATCTCAAATTATATAATAGTATTAGATTCTTTTTTGAGCAACTTGAAGATTGATATCTTGTTTATAAATTATACTCTACTTAGTTCTTTAACCAAGAAAATTATATTATACCAAGTTAAAACTTCTTTTTATACAAAGACTGATCTCTATTTCATTTAACAATGTATTTTAAAAGCTATGCATTTTATTTTTGAATTATTTTATGGCATGCCTTATTTTTTCGACAACCCACAGTACCGTCCCCTGGATCGTTGATCGTTGATATGATTTTTGTGGGAAGTAGATTGCTTGAGTCAATATATACTTTGGCTTTTTTTCCAATAGCAATAGGTGTCCAAACCAAATTACAAACTCTCTAATGATGAAATTAAATTTATTGTCTTTAACTAAATTACAATCCTAATTCTACTCACATGCATAGCAATAGGCAAAGTCAAAGAAGAAACGGAAGATATCTTGAGATTAACGTGAAAAGTATTAAAATAAATTCATGCATCAACTTCAAATTAGGTATTAGATTTGATATCTACACCTATAAAACCTTTGGATCTCCAAGATTAGATTCTAAATTTTACTCTTTCTGCAAATTTGAATGGGTTAATTACTAGTTGTTAAAAGGGGATTAAAATGACTTATTTCTCATACACCAACTATTTGTATATACAAAAAGCTGAGTAGCTCACGGGACCAAGAATCAAAATATGATATACATGATATATTGAAAACAATTACCATCTCCGTATATGAAGTCTTAATTTCTAATATATCCATACTTGTACAAGTACACATTATACAACAAGTACACATTATACAACATACGGTATCTAACAAAAACTGCTTCATGATAATATCATTACCATAACCATTTAGAATACATGAAAATGGGCATCCTTGGATATATGTTATATTCTGAGAATATAAAACTGAAAGGATCGTCTATGAAAAGAGATAAAGAAGAACAATAATAGAGTTGAATAAGATGCTAAAAGAGAAGAAATAATAGAGAATACCAAATCCTTACCGACTTTTTTTTTCTCTTTTTCTCCCAGTATTGTCACTTTAACCTCCGGAAGCAGATCCCATATCCCTTCTCTCCCAAGATTTCTCAAGATTTTTCCTACTCTACACCTACATTATACATTCATGGTATTTTTATTCATACGTTACTTCCATTACACGTTTCATGCATATATGATATAGCTAGATATTTATTCCCTACAAAGAATCATGCTAAAAGTCTATGACAACATTGCTATACCAAGGTTTTCAACTTGCATATTTTAAAGCTTGGTTGTCTTGTCTTAGAAGAGTCTTCTTGGTTCAAGCATGTACTATTTTGTTAGGCTTTCAGAAAAATCAAAATCATATTTTCTCCAACTTATTATATATGACCTATTGTTCCGCCGAATTCATCAAAAACCAATACCCTCAAAGAGTTCGTGCGAAGGGACGGGTTCCTTAAAATCTTGTCTTGACCAGCTACAAATATGTCAAACCCATATGGACCAAACTTGCATATTGCAATATTCCTAAGAAAACCATGAAGTACTTATATTAACCAAATATACTAATTAACACCCTTGTGTATATATTGACAAGGATGAAATTATATTGTTATTTTTATTTTCTATTTAACTTAGTTTTTAATTTAAACTCTAAAGAATCTGTGTACTGATAAAGTGCTCACAAGTCACAACTCTCCATTAATACATCAATAAATACATTCGAAGAATAAAAACTTAAGTACAATTTTATGAAAATCGTATTATTAATTCAATATTAATATTGTCCTGTCCGAAAGACAATTACAGCCTCAGGGCTCTGTCTATATAAATTCCATTAACTTTGTTGCTTTTCTATAACCACCCAAAACAACAAACTCAACACATTCTTAATTTTTTTCTCTCTCTCACTTACTCTTTCTACTACTATGGAACTTGCTCGAAAGGACCGACATGCAATGATAGCAGAAGATGGGTTACAAAAGCACAACAGAAACACTTCCATGTCAAGTTCCAATCGTCCTTATCCAAATAACTCCAACCTCTCTTCTTTCTATACCCAAAATAGTTCTTACATCTACTACGGTCCACAAGTACGTACCGTCAAAGAGTCCATAACATCTTCCACCTGTGCGACTTTTTTGGTCTATCAATGTTCAACGAGCTAGTTCAGTCCATGTAAAATAGCCGGTAATGCATGCAACTACAAAATATGTATGTTTCTTCTCTCTTGCCCAAACCAAACGCAAGGAATAAGCTTCAACGTTCTAGTTATGCTGAATTTTCGTAGTTTAAGACTTTGAAGGATGAAGTTAGTATTGTATATGGCTAAAGATGAGAGGCTCTTTTGCAGTTTTTATGTTTTCTTCAATTTAGATATGGTGTGAGCGGATGCAGACCGGTTCAAACTTTACTCTCTTGAGAGTTTTGTTGTAATAATTTCATGAATTTGTGTCTGTTTGTAGCATGTAAAAAGTACGTATATATATGTAACCTGATCTTTATGTACTGTATTTATGTTTTATACTCTTTTTTTTTTTTGTCTCGTCTATGTTATATACTTTATATTAGGAAAATTTCGAAACACGAGCTATATTATAAGGTTTCTAAGGAAATATACTAACTTTATGTGTCCAGTGACTCCAGAAAATCTAGTTATATACAAAAACAAGTTACCGTAGTACTAGAGTATGGATTATACTTGAAACTATACGAAACGCTTATATTCTGTTAAAATGTTTGATGTGACATTTTTTTTTCTAAGTGATAAGATTATTTAATACTGTAGTAGTTGATTTAAGTATAAAAATTACAAATTCTTAGCGTATATTTTTTTCCTTCTTTCTCAAAATTTTGTAAATTGGATTTCAGTTCGGGTAGTTCTGATCACTAGTTGAAGTGGCTCTTTGTTGTGGTTCTAAAAAAGAAGCATCTTGAAAGTGGACTGAGAAAAAAGGAACAAAAAAGCATAAGCATTTTCTTTCCTTTTATTAAAGTAAATAATGTAAATAGTTTTAATTTAAGTTTCTGTACTAATCAATATGTTATTTAAAATGTAACAGAAATCTTATATAACACATTTTAATTTTTAACGTCGACTATTTAGTCGATAGTGATATACTTCGTCACAGTTAAAAGGCAATATAATGGAGAGGCCATGTATACAAAGATGAAATCTCAATGTCGCATTATTAAGTAAAGCTAAGAATAACTCTTTCTCATTCTATATAATAAGAACTCGAAAAACTATGACTACTCTAATTTAATAAGTCCTCTCCCAAACAAGATCAACACTAAGGAAAAAATCTCCTAATTTTGTCTAATAACGAGATATTCGGCAAGAGATGATTGTGATGAAAATTTTAACTGAGCCTATTGACTCAAAGACGCCCTTTAACTTTGCGAGTAAAACTATATGTATGGACCAACGGATCCCATCAAGAAACATCCGGACAATCTGATCCGAACTTTTAATAGTATGTGAGGTGAAGACTAGTCAAGGTGCAACTGAACTCCATTCCAAAAAAAAGTATAAGATATTGCCAGGGTTCTTCATAGAGAAGGAGATTAGTTAAAATCTGATGGATCCATGATAGAGTTTTTGCTTGTGTTGACAATGTCCTCAAAATATATGAGAACGTAGACCTAAAATGGAGTACCTTCATTAAGAATGGTAAATGAAAACTTTACGTTACGTACATATTTATAAGGAACTTATATTTTTGGTATGAGAGACTATTGAGATACGTACGTGCATAATTAAATATATCAAATGGCACGATAGAAATATGTCGTCAACGTATATCCAGTTAGATAAAAAGGAACTTATATTTTTGGTATGCCATACATGTTTACATTTACTAGAAAAGCATATCAGATTACATTACTAGTAGTTACACCGTAATATGTTATATCCTTCTTCTTAGAGAAGTTTCAACTTACATTACTTCATTTGAATACATAACAGACCCCAACGATTGGTAGTGATCTAAACCTTATTTTAAGTAACAAACACATGTCTTGGTTTGTACTTTTTTAGAAGGCAGAAATATATATATATATATATATATATACTATCATACTTTTTGAAACTTGTTGCATCGTCAACATAGCTTGTGTTTTACCCCGCTTAATTACGAAACTCCTTTATAAGCACCCCTCCATAGCGCTGGGCCGCCTCATCGCAGCTAATAGCCTGTTCTTTTGGCCTCTCAAACCGGTCAACATGGCCAGTAAAAGGACGGGCGCCACTGAAGTATTGAATACTATCCGTGGGATGATAAACAATCGGTTTTACTATAGAAGACTGATAAATGACTCGGCCAGCAGTAATAGTACTAGTTGACTCTTTTAGGGTATAAAATTTTGGACCACCATATTCGTAGGAATTTCGGTAAAAATAAGTAGGAAACTCGTTTCTAGGAACATATGATTTAAGGGTTATGTTTTGGGACTTACCATACACGTTATCGACTATTTCAAAAGCCTTTTGAGCGATTTTTGTATTCCTATCATTTGCCATTTCCGCTGAAGAACAAAGAAGAGAAGAAAGGTGTATTTGTATTAGTGTACCTTTGTTTCTTTGGTTTTAGTTTGCTTTGGTAAAGAAAGCCAATGGCCTCCCTTTTATAGAAATTTTTTAGCGAACCTACGATACTCTACTCTAGCTCTGTACGTTGACTTATCTTTATTGGAGTCATCCTTTGACTTTGCACATGAATAATCACTTTTATTATATAATTCCTTTTGTAATGGTTAATTGAACTGAAACCATGACATTACAAAGTGAGACTTTTTGCCAGAGACAAATATTGTTTTAGTAAAGTAAGACAAGAAAAGACAGTATATATATCTTGAACGAACATTATTGAGTTCCTTTGACCCAGAAAAAAAAAAAAAAAAAAACAACATATTGACTTACTTTATAGAGAATTAAAGACGACCGTGTGTGGTACCCGACACTGGCGACACCACATTCCTTGTGCCAGTACCCATATAATTCTTCTCATGGCCGGTACAACACATATCTTGTGCGAAACTATATTATGCCAAGTTAAAATTTGTTACAATACTATAAGAAGTATGAAAATTGAAGACATCATATAAGTATGCTATTAGACTAGATAGTGTGCGATGAGTAGCAAATTCAATTTCATAGGATCTTGAAATCTGATCCGAAGAGTACCCCTAGCAAATTCAATTTTTTAAAAAGGAAACAAAAAAGTTTTGTTTCAGAATTTTACATTAATTTGAATTTATAAGAATTATATGGGTACGGTCACATTTATAAACTATATATTACAAATCACTGGTTACATTACACGTTTCATGCATATGTAGACTGTAGTCTGTAGACATTACATGTTCATTTAACATAAGAATCGTGTTACATGTGTGTAGAGTCGAATTAGTACGTAGCGGAAAGAGGAGATTCGGTTCCTTGTCAGCAACGTTATTTCACAAATGTTTCCTTAAGTTTACATTGCATCGGTCCTGTTTTCACATTCACATACATTTCATAACTCATTTATATTTCATAACTCATCCAAAAATTTCATAACTCATTTATATCGTCCACATAAATCATAATAAAACCCCCCTATATATATGATTCTCTTACTAAAGATATCAATTATATTCCTCTTTTTTTCTGCCATATGTGCCTCGTTACATAGTATATTATATATATTTATTTATACGATTTAATTATTAAAATTCATAAATGCATTTCTAGAATGTTTTATTAGTATATATAAATTTATGACCACGAACAAAACACTTTTGTGAATTATTATTCTGACATTATAATGAAACTATAATTTTTACATTACAAAAAAAAAAGTGAGTTAACTACATTAGGGCTTGTAAACATATATTAAACAGGGCAGGTCGTTTAGGCCCATGATGATAAGATATCTATTAACGAAACGGGTGCCGCAAGAAAATTAGGGTGAAAATGATAAACCAACAAAAACCCTAAATCTGTTAATTATCATTATAAACTCTTTTATAAGTCAGTCCTTGGTAATTTTCCGCCGCCGATCCTGACGAAGAGGAGTAGAGATCTCACGAGGATAAGAAATGGCGCCGATGAATTTCCACTTACGCTCTCGTGCAAGGAGAAAGTATCATCAACCTGCAGGTTACAGTAAGTCAGAATGAAAATGTTGTATATATATCAAAATGGTCTTTCGTATGTCATTTCATTTTGGTACTCTAGTGACCTATGTTCTCGGTACCACTGATCGAAGTCTTTTGGACTACTATCAAAATGGTCTGGTTTGGTGAAAGTACAATAATATTAAGTATGAAGAAAATTATTTAGAAAGAAATTTCTTTTGGATTTTAGGTAAGAGTGCAATGGAGGCGATGCCACGAAAAATGAAATATCTAATGAGAAGGCTGAAAATGTTAAAACGGTTGCTAAAAAGGTTATATCAGGACGAGAAGATGTACGACAAGCATGTGTACCATGACATGTTCATGAAGGTGAAAGGTAAGCGTGTTCTTATAGAAAGCATGCACAAGTTTAGCAGGGAGAAAAGGTTTGCTAGTAGCTGTGAGAAGCGGTTGGCTCAGGTAACTAAAACAAAAACCATGTTTTATTTGGGAATTGTATTATTGTTAATACGGGTGCTTATATTTTGGACATAGCAACCTGAAGGAGAGGAAGCTGCACCAGTACCAGCACCTTAACGAGCAGAGTAAGAAACACATCTTATTCCCATCTTTGCATGGTGCTTTGTTTATTGATTCTCTTGAGTAAAGAAGATGAGCTCAACTAAAGAAGTTGGAAGATCTCGATATCTTGTCGTTCCGGGGGGTTTCTTGGTAATCATTGTGAACCTGAAAGAAAGTGCCTCTTCTTCATTCACCTTTTGGCTTCAGCAAAGACGTCTTGACTACTCGTTTGCTTCATTTTCACCAAAGAAAGAACTATCTATCTATCTTGTGAACACAAGATTTTGTTCTGGATCTGAATTTACGCCTAAGCAGTTTTGTTATGTTTTGTGTTTCGTTCCTGGATTGTCAGACTATATTGCTCTATCAGTTTCACCAGTTTCCTTCATTAGCCTTTAAAGTATATTTATTCTTGAATTGAAAACCAAGAAGGCAAGAAGAAGGCAAAGAATGATACATATTGTGAAATTTTATCATGTTTTGGCTTCACTTTTTATGTTAAATTTCTAAAAGTATTTTCTTTTTAAAAAGGTTATTTAGAGGTGTTTATTGACTTAAATGTTATGTAGATTAATCTCTTGTTATTCAATCAACATTTTTTTTGTTAAATACTCTTAAGTTTGATATTATTAGTTTGTGTTTTGTAATAAAAAATAAATTAAAATCTTAATAAATCTGGGGTTATTGGATTCAGAATTTTATAAAGTCAATAAAAGTTTTGTGTTATTCATAACTAAAACAAAAGAATTTTTCTTTTATCGATTGAGTAGAAAATTTTTCTTTTTTGAAAATTGTCTTGGATCGTTTTTCTTTAAAGGCAGCTTCCATTTCTATATCCAAACTATATTCAAAATACACGGAAACCGAAACAACCGAACCAAAACTGATTGGTTAACCGAATGCCCACGCCTAACTTTAAGTACAAGTATGTTTGTTTCGTGGAATTAAACTCTCTTATAATGCTATTCTAAAACTTTAAAAAATATTTGTTAAATTTAGAAAACATAACTCACTTTTGTACTATTGGTGAGAATTCCGATTTCTAATATGTTCACCAAATAACTGAAAGATTTGTTTCTCGAAAAAAGACTTGTAAATGTTCTTTACCATTATAGTATAATCTTTATATTTAAAGATCTTCTATAACTGATTTAAGAAAATTACTCCGTGATACTATAAAATATTTTGTTACCTTTTGTGTCAATGGAAGTCATTTCGTATATTATAACCCTAGGGCGATTAAGCTTCTCTCTGCTCTGCTCTTCGTCTAAAGACTCTTTTCTACACTTTAAAGATTGGCTTTTTAGGGTTTACTTATTATCTGATGTGGGTATTTTGGTGTTACGATTTGATCCATAGATTCGTCTAATAATCTTATAGTTTTTTTTTAATTATATTTTGCTTCATAATTTGATCTGTATTCTGTGCCTATAAAATTATTGTGATAATGCTGTCATCCGTATGATCTATTAATACACTTAATTAATTCTTAATTAAATAGTTCGAAGGCGAGAGATATGTCCGACGTTCAAGATTATGGTTAGTATTTTCATTATTTGATTATTACTAGTTAGTGTTTTCGTAGTGGATCTCTAAATTATTCGAAAATTGTTTTATTATTCCTAGGATCAAGTCCCTCTCAACTCTATGGGACATTTACATGGAAGGTTAAGAAGTTTGCACAAATTAATGAGCGAGAGATCCATAGCAATGTTTATGAAATTGGTGGACACAGATGGTAAGTTAAATGACATTTTCATTTTCATAATAATTTAAGGTTGAAGCTTTGTGAAATTTATATGCTTTTATTTGGTGTTCTTTATTCTTTTACTATGAAAGGTATTTGTTAATTTATCCACGAGGGTATGATGTTAACAACCATGTCTCTGTCTTTCTCTGTGTTGCAAACAAAGATAAACTTCTTCCAGGTATAAGTATATTGTGATATTTTTCGCTTTATCTTATTCAATTTTTGTAAACCTTTAACCATCGTTTACGTTAACATTTTTGAGATAGGTTGGAGTCATTTAGCTATGTTTACTGTATCTGTGGAGAATAAAGATCCAAAGAAGTCGAAGTCTTCAGGTTATTCTCTCATCTTTTTAACTTTATTTGAATCAGTATGATAACGCAGACAAACTGAATAGGTTTCTTGGCAGATACGGTACACCAGTTTTGGAAGAAATAGCATGATTGTGGATGGAAAGAGTTTATTGAGTTACCTAAATTACAAGATGGATTCATAGATAAGTCCGGCGACCTTGTATTTAAAGCTCAAGTTCAAGTAATTAGGTAATCGCCAAGATTTGGAGTATGATATCTCTTGAGTGATATATGTATCTACCTACAGTACTATTCCATGCATGCCACCACTAACATACAACCAACTTTTCTTAATTCTTGTAGAGAGTGTGTGAACCGACCTTTCCCTTGCATTGATGATCACTATAGGAAAGAACTTGTAACGATTTTTTCGAAAGAAGTAGAAGCAAAGTTCCGGATATTTGTGGAAGAGAAAAGAAGCAAGTTTGTGAAGCTCTTTGAAGACAAAAAGAGATGGAAGAGGTAATTTTTTTTTCATGTTTATTTCCCTAAAAGTTTGAGCAACTTAGGTCGATCATTACAAGGAAATGTGTTTTTGTTAATCTTCATGCAGCTTATGTGCCTTTTGGATAAAGATGAAACCAAATTCGAGGCTCGAGATGTCTCAAGAGAAAATGGATGTGATTCTAAAACTAGTTCTTGAACACTTCTTCATCAAGAATCAAGTTGTATCCACGTTGGTGATGGAATTCTTGTTTTATGGGTTAAAGTCTCTTGAAGAGAGAAGGGAAAATTTGGAAAGACTTGCAAAGGCGGTTGCGAGAGAATTGGCCAGCAGTAACCAAATTGAGTCGGCTATGAAGAATCTTGAAGACATTAGTAAGGAGAGAACAAATGACGACAACGAACTCTCTTGGATGAATCTTGAGGACGAAACTAAGAATGAGGGAACTAGTGATGCCAAAATATTTCCAGCTTCGATTGCTTATGTGGAAAAAGATATGTTTATTGTTGAAGATCCGATGTTACTTCTAAAGAGACTTGCTCTTGCGCAGGTTAGTTTTTAGCTCCACATCTATTTGAAGAATACTTTACTTGTACATGTTGATAATGTTTTTTCTTTTCTTATATATAAATTTCTTTAGTTTAGGAGTGTTGGAACACAAAATGATTTGGAGCACTATGAGCAGCCATCATTAGCTGATCTTCATAGATTGGTTTTTGAGGTATTGGTTTATAAATGATATCTTCAGCAAAATTGAATATTTTACTTGTACATGTTGATAATTTTTTTTTCTTCTTATATATAAATTTTCTTTAGCTTAGGAGTGTTGGAACACAAAATGCTCTAGAGCAAGATGAGAAGCAATTAGCTGATCTTGGTAGATGGGCTTTGGGGGTATTTGTTCTTGACCATATCTTCTGCACCAAGATTGAATTCGCATACAAAGAAGCTATTGCATTAGAAAGACAACAAGAGCTTATTGAAGAAGAAGAGAGAAAGGAAAATAAAGGCAAAAAATGTTTTGCTGGGAAAAAAAAAAGGATGAACTAATTCTTTTTTTATTAGTGTTTTTATTTTATTTATAGAATGTTCTGGATTTTTTACTTTTTAATATAAGCATTTTTGTTTTTAATTCCTTTTAATGTTAGTGTTTTTTAGTTTTTGTATAATATAATTCGTTACATCTTTTTTAACTAACAAAATTAAATCAATGGATGAGACATTTTGCTGAAATGTGACAATTTAACATTGGATGAGACATTTTGCTGAAATGTCATCACAACTTCACTTGGTTCCCTTTGGTCAAAAAGGTTAAAATACAAGTCAGTCTTGGCTTATTTTAATCAGTCTTTTCTGTTGTCCATATATAGTTTCAAACTTTCAATTAATGAAGCATGAGAAACTGAGAATTGAAAACTAACAAAGAGCCATAGTATAACCAGAACTAGGACTCAAACACTCATTAGAGCTGAACTTAATTCTAGTTTCTACACATACAATAGTTAGAAATTCAAGGTTTGGTTCACTTGTGTCTCCTTAATACCTACTACACTATTTTTATTTTTTTTGGAGCAAATTTCCTACTACACTATAAAAGCTAAATTTATTGTTGGTTTGCAAATTTGTTCATTCTTTTTAAAATCTTCACTCACACGTCACAACCTGCAAACTGCAGAAATGATTTCTAAATAAATGATAAAGCTTTTTGGGATATTTAATAAAATTATTTTCTTTTTTAATTTTTGTTTTCTTTCCCAATTTCAGTTACCAAATATAGGACATGTTCCACCTGTGAAAAGCAACGTTGCTTTCGTGCTTGGCTTCCAAAGTCCAAAGTTCAAACGTTAACAAATAAAAACAAAAAAAAAAATGAAAGAGAAACAATTTCTTTAGTTTTAAAGGCAATAGAGGCAATTTTTTCTCCATTTTTACAGTCTTCTTCTTCTCCAAATGGATTCAACGCCCATTGATGAAGATCTCGTGGAAGAGAGAGAAGAGCTCATGGTGTCTTACAGTGAGAACAACAGTCAACCTATAATAAAAAAAGCTCACTTTTTAAAACCCTGTGTCACCTCCATTGAAGGTATGCTTCGTCCAGCTCCTTGTCCTGAGTTAAAAGCTTCGTCTTTGCGTGTGTATTTTGTTGGGTGGAGGTTACCCAACAAAAAGTTTCAGTTTTGGGCGAAAAAAATGGTTGCTTTACACAAACCCATTTGGTTAAAAGCTGGGATCTTTGAAGCGATTCAGGCGTCGACTTACAAAATCCACAAAAGCCCGTCTTTGATTCTCTCTCTCGCTCAAAATTGGTGTCCTGAAACCAATACCTTCGTGTTCCCATGGGGTGAAGCAACCATAACCCTCGAGGATGTAAATGTGCTTCTGGGTTTTTCAGTCTCGGGTTTGTCTGTATTTGCCGCTCTTGAAAGCTCAGGGATGGAAGAAGCTATTGGGAAACTGGAGAAACGAAGGAAGGATAGTACGAGGGAGGCTTTATGGATTTCAAGTTTTGTTGATGACGAGATGGAGCATGAAGCGTTCCTTGCCTTTTGGCTTTCTAAGTTTGTATTTCCTGATAAGTCTCGACGTCCGATTCTGAAACATGTTTTCCCCATTGCTGTTCGTCTAGCCAGAGGTGAACGGATTGCTCTTGCTCCTGCTGTCCTGGCAACCCTTTACAGGGATTTGGGTAAACTCCGTGCTTTAGCCTCTTCTCCAAAAGTTTATCTCACGTCTTCTCTGTTTAAGTTAGTCCAAGTTTGGATATGGGAGAGATTCAAGAACATACGACCAGAAGCTAATGAGATAAGAAAGGGTAAACCTAGAATTTCTCAATGGAGCGGTCTGAAACAGAGATTTGAGAATGTGGGGATGATTCTTTTTGATGGTAATTTTCATTGGCGTCCATACACTGTACCATTGAAGAATTGGAACCCACCTCGGGTTTATCTTGAAGATGACAAGTGGGTGAGGATTAATGAGATTCTTGATGGTGAAGATGATGAGTTTGTGTCGTTTGCTAGATGTGTGAGAATTTCTAAGCTTGTTGGGATTGGTTTTGTAGAGAACTACTATCCAAACCGAGTGGCGATGCAATTTGGATTTGCCCAAGATCTTCCTGTTTTGGCTACTAATCATAGCAGCAACCTCACAGAACAAGAAGCTTGGGATGACTACAACATATCTCTTGTTGGTTTAAAGCTATTCCTTCCTTCTCGCCTAGCCACAGCTTTGGTTACTGCAAGATACCAAGACTGGTGGACAAAATCTGTTTCAGAGATGCCGAAAGAATCTACCAAAACGTTCAATGTAAGCAGTACAGTTGATCATTATGATGATAGTGATGATAATGTACGTCTTAAGGTATTACCATTGAGCCAAATCTTTCAGAAGTTGGATGATAGAATGATGAAAACCAAACATTCAACAAACAAGAGACGCAAGCGAGCTCGTGAGGACAATGAGAGTGCTGAGACCGAAGATGATGATGAAATGACCATTTCTGAGACCGAAGATGATGATGAAATGACCATTTCTGAGACCGAAGATGATGATGAAATGACCATTTCTGAAACCGAAGATGATGATGAAATGACCATTGGTCAGAGGATCAAATCTAGGAAGAAGTGTAGTGATGTAGAGAATGCTGAAGGAGATAGAAGTAAATATGAAGTGGATAACAATGTTTCAGGGTTTCCTCAAAAGATTACTTACCGAGATGAGACTGTAGCAACACAAGAAACAGACCAAACGAATGATGAAAAGAACTCCTCGAATCCTTCTGATGGAGGAGCTAAGAAGGAAGAAGATTTTGTTATTGATGCTGTAAGATTGAAGCAGAGAAAGCTTGCAACCATTGCTCAGAGGATCAAATCTAGAAATAAGCGTGTTGATACAGAGAATACTGAAGGAAAAAGAAGTAGACTTGGAGTGGGAAGTAATGTTTCAGGCTTTCCTCAAAGGCTTAATGAGACTGTAGCAACTCAAGAAACAGAGCAAAAGAGTGAATCAGCAAGCAACGACACTTCAAAGTCTTCCAATGGAGTAGCTGATAAGGAAGAAGATGATGAGAGATTGAAGCAGAGAAAGCTTGCAATAGAGGAGTTAGCATTGAAGATGGAAGCTCGTATTTTGAAGGTAGAGAACACATTGGCCAAGATTAAACAATGGAAACTCAGAAAAATTCACACCAAAACTCCAGTTTCTGCTTAAGAAGCTATATCGTCTCTTTAGGCAGCTTCTGCTTCTCTTATCAGAGGAGCAGAGCTTTTATGTGTTACAAGAATGGCTTCTAATGTCTATGCAAAAATGATTTTTATTATTATTCTCATAATTTAATTAAATATTCGTATTTTGATGATTTACCTAAAGCCGCTTTCCATTTCTGCTTCTTCTTCGTCTTCTTATCCGATGACTGGTCTCTCAGTCACACTCACATCATTACCATTCTCCTATGCGCTTTCAACCACGTGCAAATCACGCACCTCTCCTCCACCTATCACCGTCTCGTTGAAATCTACCAGGAGATCGGAGCTTCGACAAGATCGCCGCCGGCGATCAATTGAAGCCGCCATGTCTGGTGACAACCGCAGTTCCGGTTTGAATCAGGTGATCGAATTGGAAGATGAATCTGATTTCCAGAAGCTGCTCTCACCGGATAATCGGATCTCCATAACTGGCTTCGGCTCTCTTCTCTCCGGTTCGTACACTTCTCCTTCGTTTGTGTATGATTGAGAATTTGAGATCATGATTGGTTTTGTTCTTAACAGAGAGAAGCGCGAGGAGTACATTCCCAGATTTGGAGAATTTCAGAATCGCGAAACTGCAAGGATTCCGGCGAGTTTTCGCACACTCAGCTCCGATCTTCTTCGAGCGTGGCATCGCCAATCCTGAAACTAAGGTCTCATTCTGATATATTGCATCTGTATTGGAAACATTGAGCTACTTTGAAACTGATGTGGATGAATCATGTCAAAGGCTTAAGAGATTGTAGATATTGATTTTGAATATATATATATACAAAGAGTCTTCTTCTTAGGTAATGAAGAATACAATTCCTTAATGTGATGGAATGAAACAGGAGATCTCAAGTTTGAGTGTTGAGCCATGTGAAGGAGAGAGCCTTGTGGTTACTGTCTTTGAGATCAATAGCTCAGAGGTACCAAAAGACAACTCTTTTTGCTTCAATCCTGTGTTTGAAGTGTATAATACTCTTGACGGTTTTTGATACGTCAAAATACAGATTCCGGCTTTTATACAAAGGGAGCCTGAATTTCGGTTTCTTGCTGTGAGTGACTAGTTCCTCGTCTTCTCCTAGTTCCAAGATATTCAATGATAGATATGTCTGTGTTTTGTGTCGCACTGCTCATACGTTTTCCTCACATATAGGTTGTTCCTGAAACATTGGAAGGAAAACCTTACACCAATTCTGCGGTACGTCTAGTTTAAACAAATGTTTGTTCTCAGTGATATGTCTTCTGTTTGTTTACTCTTTGCCAAGTCTGAGATTTTTGAGGTATGAACAGGTGCTTTGTGGTCGATACAGTGATGAGGAGTTTTTCCAGATTCGATGCAAAGGTTAGGCCCTTCTCGTTCTTTTATCAATCTATCTATATGTCTCAAAAGTTCAAGCTCTTAGAGGATTTGTTTTCTGCAGGAAACAAAGAGATTTACTTTCAACATTATGGAAGATTCAACATCGAGAAGATATGGCGGGACGACATCTTACCTTGTCGTCTCTATCTAAGACACTGGTAAACTCTCCTTACTACTGATTTTTATCCAACGTTGAAGGCTTGAAGCTACAACTTGTTTCAGTTAAAAATGAGAGAAACATGTGTTGGCCGAAACAGCAACTAATACTGTTACACCAAAACTTAGTTCTTGAATTTCTGGTACTTGGATAAGAAATTTCATAGCTAACTTCAATATCTGGATTAAAGATTCTTAGAAGTTGAAGATTCTCCTGTGTTTGCAGTGTGTTGGCTGCTAAGAATCTGGGAGATGAAGCTTACAATAACTTTCTGGATCATACATTCTTGGGAGATAGAAAAACAACCATCAGAGAGTATTTAAGTAGCGCAGGGTCTGGTATCATGGAAGAAGAACCACCGGAGGCTCTCAAGTCTAGATATGGAGGTTAGATAAAAAACCAAATATGAAAAGATGATTGTTCTTCCATCAAACTTCAAACGTTATAAATAAAGATGGATAGATTTCAATGTTTTATTATCTCAAATGAAGACAAAACTATGTTCTGGTTGTTGCTAAAATCAGAGTTTTAAAGAAGGACAATATCCCACATCGGGTGTAAAAGAAAAGAGTTGTGTTTCTATGGCCTATAAAACGGACGGAGTTTTGTCATTTTATGTAACCCGTTTCTGTCAGAGGTGAAGGATGATCCGTCAATGATCGTTAAGAGACGGCGGATCGTGCCGACACAGATTTTGACGAACATTATTTAAGGCGAGTGGGCCTTGCCTTACTTTGGTTGGGCCTGCCCGTCAATTTTTGGAAGCCTCGATCTCACCATCGAGGTTCTGCCCAATCCAAAAGAATAGACTTTTGAGAAAACCTGATCTATTTCAGTTTTTAATTGTTTACAGTATAAATCAACATAACGAACTGAGCCGTATATTTTAGAACTGAAAGCCAAACCTTATGAACTACTCATGGATCTTCATGATACCAGTATTGTGTATATGCATCACATTCAATTGTTGAGACATAGATAATCACAATAAAGGTGTCAAGAATTCTGTTATTCCATTAATCTCTCTCTACATTGAGAACAAAAAAAAATGTAAACTCTGTGTATAAATATTTATAATGTACAGTTGATGAGGAGAGGAAGCTCATGAAGAGTGTGGAGCACACTCGAGCTCCGTAATTAAGAGTTCCATCATCTTTTTATACATTGGCATATAATGATCATTTATCATTGTTCTCGACAGCCTAATCTTTCTGTACAGTTCTCTTGGCGTCTCATATATCCTCACACGCTCCGTAGTCGTCGTCGTCCCCACCACCATCACTTCATCACGCTCTGTTTCAGACTCGGTCTCAGTCACTGACACTATGTGCATAATCTTACCTGGCGGGTAAAACCGCTGGTCCTCTATCAAGTCCATTGAAGATGCTGAAACTGGACTCTGGTTCTGTCCTGTGGAGGAATCTCCCCCACCCGTAATTACAGTCTCTTCCTCTGTTATCTCCTTTGCTGCTGCTGCTTCTTCCTCCATCGCTTCACTGTCTCTTTCGTTCTCCTGTCGAGTCAACTCTTTGTCCAGTTCGTCCCATAGCTCACCTTCTGTCACGTCCTCTTCTATGGAAGATGTTTCAGCAATGACTTGGTCGATTGAAATCAATGGCTCTTCTTCGTCTTCTTCATCTTCTTCTTCTTCTGTGTCTTCACGTTCTGATTCACTGCTGCTTGATGAAGAACAATGGTCTGTTTTCTTGTGACCTTTACGATCTATCACTACGGAATCAGCCAGTAGAGCTTCAGTGCTTCTTCTTTCTGGTATAAGAGCGGATGCTTCTGGTAAGTCTGTGACTTTAGAGTTAAGTTGGGAGCTAATAGCCCTACGGCGTGGTCCTATGCAATACCATGATGAGAGAGTTGAACGGGTCTGCACAACGGCCTGCGCTACATCCTGGGCACGCTTTAGCATAACCTGAGCAAATTTTTCCCCATTAATCTAAGATCAACATTATCACGACAAAAGAAACACTTTTCCACGATTTTATATATTTAGTTGTTCCACATACACAATTCACTCATAAAGCCGCAACCATTTTGGCTCATGATAATTGTATTGTGTTACAACAGATTTTACCTGAGTGCCACTTGAGACAGGCCGCAAAATTGCCCCAGCACCAGCCACTTTTGCTTTTGCACTGGCTATAGAGGGCAAACGAGAACCTATAGCAGTTGCAGACCGATAAACAACACTAAGGACCCTGGTGTGTTCAACCTGATCACGCAGGTCATTTGACCATGAGGACGAGGTTACCTGCCACCAAACAGAAATTAGGATCTTATCTGTGTAAAAATGAGTGTAGATATAATACTTAACAGGAAAATCTGATCCACGCATGCAAAAGTGGATACAAACTCGAGAACCATGACGGGAAAACCCCACATAAAGCACCATAAAGAGCTAGGACCATAGTTTCCATTTTCCATTGATGCACTTGTGCCAAAAAGTGAAAATATCTACAATGTCTGAAAAGACTATGAATCATTTAGCAGAGGAAAGATGAAATCTCTATAGATTTCTCTCATGGAAGTACCTAGTTAAGCATGTTGGTTTGATATACCATGGTTAGAAATATATTGTACCATTTCAGGACCATTTATTCCAATGGTGGAACAGGATAAATTCCGTGATATTAGCAGGTCAATATTAGCAGGTCACATACCTCAGAACGAAGGTCATCTACTGAAGCAGCAGAAAATGTTGGGACTATATCAGATCCATTGATAATAGTAGTAATGAAGTGCTTGCCTGATTCTGCTAATTCCCAAGTCATACAAGCAGCTGCAAGTTGTTCACTAAAAGTTCAGTGCAAAGCATTGTAACAATCAGAACTAACTGACATATAAAAAATTTGGTGATTTAAAATTAAGGGAGAGGAGCAAATGACATAAAAGAGAAGCAATTACCACCATTTCTCCTAATTGGGTGTACCTGGTGCAAAAGTGAAGCAAGTAGCCGAGGCAAACTCTTTTTGCTCCCGCAGAATATATGTTAGAAGTGAAGCCGTCGCACCTCCAAGAGAATGACCTACGATCTGACACAACATATATTAGTTAAATAGACTCTGATGTATGTACATCTTATCATCTGAAATTTGATTATTGTGACAGATGGGCAGATGCCTACATAATGTCCTGGAATGCAACTAGGAAAGAGTACTTCTGTCCCCGAATAAAAGTTAGAAGGAAAAATATAATCTGAATTATCACATAAGCAAATGACATACTTTTTTTAAAGTCATCTACACCTATCGGTAGTTTATCTAGCAGTACTAACGAGACAAAGAATTAGTAACATAGAAGACTAGTAATCTAATCAAAAATGTATCGCTAAATACAGATCATTTACCTGAACCTTGAAACTAGGATTCTCATCAAGGGCCTTGAGGAGGCAAGGAACACTAAGTTTAGCAATCCATCGAGCTGCAGCAACCATTCCACAATGTGCATAACCTAAAACTAAGTTACTTAGCCCACCATCATGCAAAACTGAATGATGGAAAGGGACCACTGCACCAGTTGCTGCTGTCAATGTATCTTTAATGCTATGAGTGCCACGGATCAATAGCAGGATACATTTTGATTTGCTATCTCGTATAATCGTGAAGGCAGGCTGCATAATCTGCAGGGTTCCCAGAATAAATTGATCATGGTTCCAGATATAAGCAAAAACAACAAAACAGACCTCAAATTATTCAACCAAACAAAACACTTGGCACTGAGCTCTTATCAAGCTTCCCTTTTCTTTAAGTTTCCATTTGACCAGCAGGATAGCCATTTTATCAAATATACAAAACGGATGAAACTATTTGTAACAAGTTAGGTCCAATCTTTAATACATGAACAGCACTGACGATCAATCATTATGGGGTATATACAGTATACTATTATTAAAATATCTATGTGAGACAAACTCTTGTTAACCTCTCAAAATTTATGTTCCTAAGAGAATCTATCCAAAAAGTACGATATATAGTGCTTCAAAATTAGAATTCTAGTCTGGAAAAGAAAGTATGTAGTCACTATATACAAGCTAATCATGAATAATAACACGAAGAAAAGATCACATTGATATGACCTACCCCTGCTTTAGGCTTCTGAAGAAGGACATCTTCATGAGTATAACCGGCAGTCTCCAAAAACACGGGAAATGGCTTCTTGGAGAAAAGCATACAGAGGGTCAAAAATCTCAGTAGCTCAGTCAACTCCATAATAATTTCTGGTCCTTTTAACTCTATACAATTACTTCCAGCATAAACACTAGCAGTTGGAAAGTTTCCCTGAAAACAAAAAAAATGCAAACATACAATGTCAACTAACGTACACACTAAATTGGCCAAGGAATCTAAACTAATTACACTGCATTGAAACAGCAAAACACATTTGAAGGATATAGATAGTAACACATCATAAGCTATTCAAGTCATTAGATAACAAGTGTAAATTTTGTCAAAATGCAGGATAACCAACCATCCTGGCACTAAAATGAACATAACGAAAACAAAAATCCAAAACATATTTGAACAGAGCTCTAATATTTCTTATCATAAAAGCAACGGTATAGGACTCACAAAGATGAAGGAACAGTGAGGACATTAATTAAAAAAACACTTCTTTCAATTAAGGCCATTATTGGACATAGTCAAAGAACATATATATAACACAAAAGATCATATCAAGGTCGCTAATTTATGCAGCCAAGTTAAAGATACGACTGAAAAAATCAAACCCAGAAGAAGAATGAGATAAAAAAAGCTCAAACCTGCCTACGCATCAAATAGTTAATACCAAAAGCGAGATCGGCAATAGGCCATTTGCCGAAAGTCTCTGAATAAGTAAACCGTAACGTCTCTGATAAAGTTGAAATAGTCTCAAGCCAAGTCGCCGGCGCTTGATCCGGTCTCCTTACAATCCTCCTCCTTCCGGATCTCCCTGATTTACCCAATTCACCTCCTGGGTCATCTTCCCCATTTCTCGGCCACACGATCCGACGGCTCAGTAAGTACAGAATCACCACTGCTCCTGTTGCCGTCACCATTGCACTCGCCGCCATCTCCGATCCTCCTCCTCCTCTTTAATCACAAACCCGTTCAACAATCCAATTCCCCACTCCTCAGCCGAATCTAGAAAACGTAACACGATTCAGCGAATTCGAAAGCGAGGACGAAGATTTCTTCAGGAATTTCGAAAACATCTTCAATCTAAATCTCTCATAATGCATGAATCGAAGCTCCGATTTCTCCAAAAATTCAAACCCGATTTGGGCATTACGAAGCCAAGGAACGTTATTATGATCTCAATGATTCATTGTATGTTTTTACTTTTTAAGGTTGAAAATGACAAGAAAGGACATGGACTCGTCCGCATCTACTCTGGTAAGTCAGGGGTATTATCGTCAATTTAAAAGATAAGTAGGTAACCATTTAAGGTTAAGTTAAGAGGAAAGAAGAACGTTAGGAATAATATATAGATTTGTTCCTACGTAAAGCAATCGAATGATACTAGTAGCACCGCTCTAATCAGGATTAGCACACTAACCTATAGAGTTAAGCTCCACAAACTAAATTATATAATTGAATTTATGGTGGAAGATGAACTTGAACACACGATCATACACGATTGCTTTTGAGTACACACAACTGTGTTATCTTGTTTATTATAATATTAATAAAAAGGGTCTCTTACTTTCATGACTTTACTTCACATTTATATAAAGAACAACTAGACCCAATTACAACATCATGAAGAACTTAAAATCTTTTGTTTTAACCTATGTGTGTTTTTGACTCATGATGCTGGTTCACTATTGGGTAGAAAAATCATTAACGAATAATGTGATGATGCAAACTCTTTGGTTTCTTGATGCTAAAGAGTCTGTGTGAAAAATGTGATGCAGGCTTGCAGGAAACAATGAACCTGCATCACATTTTCCCCATTAGTATAATCGTACAGACTAGAATTTTTAACACATAACTATAACCCCAAATCGCTTCTAACATCAGTCGTCGCAAGAAAAGACAGTCTTCTCACCGCAGAAGACAGAGCTCCCCTGTTTCTTCTGTTTCTGTTTTATCAGATACGTAGGCTTGTTCTCCGTCAAAACTAGGCTTCTTTCTCCTCGAAGTTTGTCTTCGTACCTGGAAATACATCAAAAGCTCTTGTGTGATCTCTCCATGTATATTATATCTAATACCCAAAACTTCACCCAATGTGCTCTTGATAACAAAACTCATAAAGAAAAATAGTTAAAAGTCCCTTACCAAAGCTTTTCTACAAGGTCGTACTCGTACCTAATAAACAACAATATAAATAGCTTTAATCTTCTGTAAGAAATGACATCAAAACTATAGCAAATAGCTTAGACAAACTAAACTCATATTTACTTTGGTCCGAGAGGGTATGGAGCTGTCTCTGCCAAGCGAAGATAAATATTATAGAAGGTCAAACGTGCACCATTCTTGTCTTCCACAGCCTACAACAATAAAAGGTTAAATCAGATTATCCTACTTTCAAAACAACTACTTGTATATATAATTTTCATCATATATAGGTACACTACTACTACTTTTCAAATGACTATTTCTCATCTACACTTCAAATTAGGCTCACCTTCTCTGCTTCCTCAGCAGTAAAAAACTCAATAAACGCGCAGCCCAAATGCTTACCCCTGTCGTCTACAATAAGTCGAACACTAGCAACTTCTTCTTTTTTAAAGAGACTGATGCTGTAAAAACATAAGGTATATTATATCAGTCGTGAACAAAATTGCTCCGAGAAAGAAAGTGGAAATTTAAGGTGCTACTTACATATCCCATAGCTTAGTCTGTGAGAGAAACCGGACAAAAAGAGCGTCTTCTTTGTTACAGCAAATGGCTATATTTAACAACGCCAAGTGTGTTAGCACAACTCAAAGTAGATTGAATAACAACCAAAATGTAGACTCATCTGAAGATTCTGATTCATTAATTATTTAAGAACAAGGTACCTCAACAAAATCGGGAGTTTCATCAAGTCCTTCCACTGCCTTTTTTTCTTCCATCAGAAGGCTTTCTTGTCTAAGGTAGTCTTCGTACCTGGAACATCAAAAACCCTAGTGATCTCTCCATGTAGACCAAAAACTTCACCCAATATGCTCTTGATAAAAACTCAAGAGGCAAATATATAGTTAAAAAGAAAACTTACCAAACATTGTAATCTATGCAATACCTAAGTTACAAAAAAAACAATAGACGTTACAACCAAGTGTTACATAAAACTAAGTGTTACATAAAACAAATCTCCAAAACATGGAAAAAATCAGTTTACTCGGGTGGATAATAGTATGGAGCCTCCTCAACCACTTCTAGAAAAATCTCGTGATCATGCAAATATTCACCGTTCTTCTTTTCCAGCGCCTACGTACGTATATAGTATAAATTAGCAATTGTACTTTCAGTTTTATCTACTTGTCTATTTTGCATCATTACTATTATAAACTACTCTCACCTTCTCTGCTTCGTTATCAGAAGAAAACTCAACAAAGCCAGAACCCACATGCATGCCCTTCTTGTCTACAATAAGTCGAACATGAACAACTTCTCCAACATCTTTGAAGAAATTGATACTGTAAACAATGGAATATAAGTCACCATGAAGAAACTTGCTCCAAGAGGGAAAGAGGAATTTTAAAGGTGTTACTTACATATGTGATATTTCAGTTTGGGGAGAGAGATTAGAGACAAAGATGGTCTTTCTTTGTGCGGCAACTGCCTGAATTTAACATCCACGTAAATTAGCACAGACTCCTTAAGGAGAAAAGGACTTTATGGAAACATGAGTTGGGTTGTGTTATTAAACGCTAATTAAGAGCTTCTTCTGATCATGACATGTTTTGAACATAATAAGAAGAGGTACCTCAACATAGTCGGGAGTTTCATGATCATGTCCTGACATCAAATAAATCTTATGATCGTACAAATATGCACCGTTCTTCTCTTTCAGAGCCTACAGTTTGATTAAAAGATTTAATCAGCTATATATACTACTTTCAAATAACCACTACTTGTCATAACAAGCATAGAGTAATTTTCATCAAATGACTACTTTATATACTTTTCATTTAATATTATTTTCCATCAAATGACTACTTTATATACTGCTCTCACCTTGTGTGCGCCGAAAGGAGAAGCAAACTCAACAAAGGCATAGCCCAAATGCTTGCCCTCGTTGTTCACAATAAGTCGAACACTAGCAACGGAAATACCTCCGAATATACATTTGCTGCAAAAGTGGAGAGTAAAAAATAATGAGTCACGGGAAAATTTGTCCCGGCCCAGTCCTTATTGGGGGTATCTTAGGAGTATTATTTCCTTAAGAAAGTATCTTATATGATCTAAGTAAAATGGATTTTTTTTTTTTAAAGTGCTACCACTTACATATCTGATATTTTAGTCTGGGGAGAGAGATTGGCAACAGCGAGCACTTTCTGAAAATCAAAAGGCCAAGTGTGTTAGTAAACACGAGCCTAAGGAGACAAGGATTGAAATTGCATACAAACAAAAAGTAGCCTCATCTAAAAGCTGATCCCCAGAATAAGTCATCTAACAATAAGGTACCTCAGGAACTGGAATGCCATCATCAAGTCCCTCCAGTACTGTCTCCTCCTGTTGAATAGACAAGGCATGCATTGATCATGAACTTGTACAATATAAATATCTAACAAACAGTACAAAAAAAATCAAAAGTTATACCTCCACAGAGATTAAATTAGTCTGGTCAGAATTGTACAGGAGACTATCACCAAGTCCTTTAGTTGTCTCCTCCTCGTCCTGTTACATACATGAGTAGCCATTAGAACACAAGTGTAAAGAAAATTCTTCTCAAAGAAGAAGAGTAATCCGACCATATTAGGTTACCTTCTCCTCGTATGTTTCCTTCTGTTTCTTCAGAATTTGTATGTTCTCCAAATTACTATCTTCATTGGCTCGTTTACCTAGCAGCAAGAAAAAAAATTAAAAAAATCGACAGCCAAGTAAGTTGGTTTAATAAAATAGATAAGAGAAAACTAACCAAATAAATCAGCTTTGGCGGCGGATTCCTTGCTAGAACTGGCCATGGAAGAAAGTGAAAACAGCGACGGTCGTTTGTTTTTCCGGGAAGGGTAGAGAGCAAGGGATGCTATTTATATACCTACCCTAGGAAAATGTCGTATGGGCTGGGCTTTTATTAATTAATAGTGATATTAATTTATCTATAAATGTATATTTATTATTTTAGAGTGTAAATTAATAATTATTAATTTATAGTAGTATTTTTAATTGTTAAAATTTTTAAAACAATGAATTGGGACAATTGTACAAAAATATAGTAAGATTTTAGTTTTATAGATACTATACATTTATATTTTGGAATTGAATCTTATATTTAGAAAAACATTTGACAATAAATTACTAATATTACAAATAATTTCACTTATACATATGCTATACGTAAGTTCAAATTTATGACAAAAAACCTCGATTGTTATATTTTAACATCCTATAAAACTAAAAATGAATATAAAGTAAGTTTAGAAATTGAAAACATACTCAATTGTTATATTTTAACATCCTATAAAACTAAAAATGAATATAATGTAAGTTTAGAAATTGAAAACATAAAAAAAAAAAATTTTGGTTATTTGTATGACATGTTATGGAATATATTACAAGATTGTAGTTTAAAAATATAACATATAACTGTTTGATAGAAATTAGGTATAGGAATAAATTCATTTTTACTAAAAAAACTAAAAGCACACATTAACATATATACATATATATATATATATATATATATGTATAAAAACTAAAAGCACACATTAATATATATATATATATATTGTAATTATTAATTTACGATATTGTTGGGACTATATTTTACAGAGAGATTTCAAAAAAATTATTATCTTATTATCTTATCGAATATCGTTATTTTTTACACTGACCCGACTTGAGACTAGCAAAATTTATTAATTTATAATGTTTATTAATTTATAAAGTATTAATTTATAGAGGTTTTACTGTACGTATTTTTGGACCGTATCTAAACCGTACTTTGTTCTCGGTAACATTTGTTCACTGTCGGCCAAGTCTGAGCTTCTGTGTCAAGACAATTACGTATAATGGATTAAAGAATCATCATTAGCAATTGTCCACACAATTGGCTTGTTTAAAGCTAATCAATGAGAGTTTGGTGTTGAAAAAAAAAAAAAAAATCATCATTAGCGAATAATATAGAAATTAGAAGTCCCGTTGAGCGTTTTTTCCAGTTACAAACGCAAATTTTTCATAATTGTTAATTTGATAAAACCATAGGAGGATGACTAGAATTACTACAAGTATCCAAATTCAAACCGACAAGGTTTACCAAAATCATTAACCCATTTAAGTAAGTGGTTGATGATTATAATAGTTGGTCCCAACAAGTTTTTGTTCTTGTCAACTTTTTCAAACTTATATATGTTTTTTCTTTTTCTTTTTCTTTTCACACGAAGATAAAAATCAAATAATCAATCATTCATCACTATCAAGAAGAGGACCCAGCACAGCCAGTGAGAAGCATTACACCAATAGTGTCCCTTTCGTTGACGTAGAAGATATAAAAGATTAAAACCATTTCTTTAGTGAGTCCATCACTTTTGTGAACTTGTATAAATAGTTTGTCTTTTCTTTCTTTTCCAAATTAAAATTGCTACTCTTTTGTCCATATATATATCAGAATACGGGTTTTTATGAGAACTCTGTTTCTTATTTAATGTCCCAAATTTTTCTTTGTAATGACTAATGAGATATCAATTAGATTGTAACTTAAAAAAGGAAAAAGAAAAACTAAAGACAACAACAAACAATTAGATTGCGACTCAACTATAATCCATACCTTTATATTATTATTGACTACAAATACTAATAGTAAATGAAAATGATATAATTGGCAAACGGTTTTATTTGTTCTATCCACCCTAACAATTAAAATTTTTAATTTATTAGAATTGACACTTATTAAATTAGATAAATTGATAAATTTGCTCATTTTTACATATCTATTTGAATCAACACACTTAAGGTTTAAACAAAGGTTAACAACTAACTATACTTCAATTTTCGAAATCTATACGCGAATAGTAAGAAAATCACAGAGATATAAGAAACTAAGAATTTTACACATGTTTTAAAATAATTAACATTCATTTCTTGCAAGTTTACCATCCTAAATATTTTACATAAAATGCTAGTGACTTTAGTTATTTAAAATATTAACCTTTCAATTAACTCAGAATAGATTTTGTTTTATGTTAGACTTTTTCTTCTTTACATTGTTACGTGGCCCAATAACAATAAATGGATAATGTACTAACTACTAATTATATATCGTGGTGTCTACATTTTTTTAATTTGTTAAGTACACCAACTTTATCAGTTGTCCTCTATCAATCGAGAAGCACTTGCTCGCTGCGATATCTGTCGCTTTCGAGTTTTTCAATTGTATTGTCGTCACCTTCATTTTCTCACGAGATATTTCAAGTTTCTCGCGAAATTAGTAGTCTACGTCATTTTTACCCAAAAAAGCAAAAACATGTAGCGGATGCCACCTCGTTCGGTTAAATTCAGTTGAATTTTATATCTCGATTCCGTATGATTCCAGTCAGCTATAATCAGCTACAATTTAGAAACAATTTCAGCTAAATAGTTTTTTTTTTGTTCTTCTTCTTTGTAAGTTGATGTGATGATCTTATATGTAAGGGCACATATCAACTTGTGTAGAAGATTCATATAAATACAAAATAATAATTATGAAATTAAATATTAATTGAACTAGAATATATAATTTTATAGAAAATTAGGGGTGTTCAATCCATGTTTCGTATTACGATATGATTTATCCTAATAAACTAGATCCATAATTTGTTAGTATCCTTGTTCTTTTTATAAAAAATATTACTAGACTAAAAACCACTTGATAGAGGTGAACAAAAAAAAAACAACTTGATAGTTAATTAACTTTACAAATCATATAAAAATAGGTTTGAATTAAAACCTAAAATCTTCTATAAAATTAGGAGTGTTCAACCTATGTGTTTTATATTAAGATATGGTTCGGTTTTTATATTAAATATATTAGTTTCGTTTATCTGTATTTAAAATTCTGTTTAATTACACAACTGTTTTTCCCCGCGAAATTTAAATCATGATTTTTTAACCTGTTCATGACCGAAAATAACATTTAAACTATTTTGAAAATAGGTTTAATTTTTTCCGAAAACTTGAATTCATTAATTTTTGTCAGTATCCTCGTTTTTAATGTAAAAAATCATTAGACTAAAAACCACTTGATAATTAACTAGCTTTTAAACTCATAGAAAGATCTTAATCTATTGGGTCCATCATCATATTCTTATAAGTTTCACGCCTATGTATTTGTTTTAGGATTAACACATATATAACAAAGTAACTATAGAAACAAAATTTGATCTCATGAAGTTAAGGCACATAATCCTTCTTAATTACAAAAGATTGATGATATGTTGGACGCATCCTGATGATATTTATGTAAAGGGCTCGTGCTCATTTGTACAATGTATCTAAAAGTAATGACATACATAATGTAAATTGACCAAATTTGAAAATAAATTATAATTTTAAATTATTAAATTTTTGTGTCTCAAAATAAAAGATATTAGCTCCGATTTTATTGACTTATCTTATTATATAAATTTAGTTTTTTTTTTGAGAATCTAACATATCTTAAAAATGTAATTATTGAAACTATAATAAAATATGTAGGTGTTAATCAACACATGATGGATTTTTTTTAATCTTTCCCTTTTTAACAAAATATAAATTAATTGTCTTAAAAACATATTTATACTGACTTACATATGTATATCTAAAAGTATTTTAAATTTATATTTATTAACTTATAAAGAATATTAACAAAAATAAAAATAACATTACAAAATTAAGTAATTATCTTAAGCAATCTATATTTGACTATTAAGTCAATCTTGACAAAAAGAAAAAGAAGAAAAAAATTGTATAAATTAAAAAAGATATGTTTCCAAAATCAAAATTAAATTTAAAATAAATTAAAGATTAAATTTTTAGAAATATACAGTAAATGTTAGGAAACAAATCATATTAATTGAAAATTCAAAAGTATCTTTATAGAAAGAAAGATAAAGAAAAAAAAAAACACTTTGGAGTCATGGATAAATATATTCGTCCATTCCTGCTTCGGTGTGCTGAGCTGTATTGGATAAACGCCAAAGGAGGAGCGGTTCCGACAAACGAGGTTATCACCTCATATTGATAAGACCCTTATACTTATCATATAAGCGAGAGAACTTATCAAATCACAGTCGGTGTTAGAAAAACCCTGCAAAACGCATCGAAGAAAGTGGAGAACAAGTCACACTTTTTTCTTTTATTAAAAAACAGAAGAAAGAAAGCAAAAAAAGAGGAAATATTTTAAAATTTTGAAATAAATTAAATTAAAATTATTTAATTCCGGGTCAGCTTTCCTTCTTTAGTTTCGAGAGACGAGAAGAAATAAATCGAACACAGAGAGAGAGAGAGAGAGAGAGACACACACACAAACCCTAGAAAAACCATTTTTAAAAGCTTCAACCACCGATCTGGGAAATTAGCGTAACCGTCTTCTCACCATTACCCAGATCGCACAATTTCTCACCTCCGCTGTGTCGTCAATTGACGAAATGTCGTCTCTAAGCAGAGAGCTTGTTTTCTTGATTCTTCAGTTCTTAGATGAAGAAAAGTTCAAAGAATC